AGACCTGTATTATTCCCTAGAAAGAGACATGTCACAAAAATGGAAGTGGACAGTTACCAAAAGAATGTACTATAAAAAGGAGAAAGATACATAGGAACACATTTCCTCTGTAAAACAAATCTTGATAGGGTGGAAGTAGGGGCTGGAGAGCAGAAATGGGACACCAGATACAAGGAGAAAAGGAAAAGAAGGCATGCACAGGGAGGAAAATCTGGGAGATCTATTCCCGCAAATTTTATGATAATTATGCCAATGGCCACATGGAGTAGGAGAGATATGGGGCATAAACAACAAGTTTCTCCCAAAAAAGACATTCTTGGCTTCCATAAATGATTAATTCCTTTTTTCTAGGTTGTTAGCTTTAGTTCTCCAAACTTACACTGCTCCATTCCTAGAGAATGGCCTGTAAGCAGAAACGAAGTGGCATATATTGGTTAAGAGAATGGTCACAAATAAAGCAAGGGAATGACGTGGTAATATGACAGACTGGATCTCAGGCTTCTTTTCTAGAGCACATGGCTGTCTTAGCAGAAGACAATTTTATTACCTAAGACAGGAAGCTGCTTGCAATGTGGAAAACAAAGTATTGGCTTCATTACATTAAACTGGATGTTCTAATGCTGTTTGTAAAACAAGATTCATTTACAGGTGAGATTTTAAATATGAAAACTGGGTAGCACACAGATAAGCTTATATATTTCAAGTACTTTAATAACACTAGTTATTTCCGAGTAGTGAAATTTCTTCTTTATATTTTTTTGTTTTCTTTCAATTTTCTACAAAGGCATGTATCACTTATGGTCAGAAAGGAAGTTATTTCATTTGTGGGAAAAAAACATGATAACTGAAGAATAGTTACCACTGCTAGACAAATTTGAATCGATGGGTTAATAAAAAAGGTTTTATGGCACATCTTCTAAATTCCCGAAAAATAACAGCAGTAATAATAATCAAGTATCTTCTGCCATGAATGATGTTGATCCTTCATTAATTTGTCACGCATTTAAGATGACTAGATTCACACTAGTCATTAGGATGTGTAAGACAGTTCCTGTCTTCAAAGGGCTTAAGAGTCTAAATGAGGAGAGGAATGAGAAACGAGATGACTTCACCGCAACGTGAAAAGCACACTACTAGAGGTATGCACAGGTGCCACGGGATTACGGAGGGTCAGGGAATATATTGTGGAGGAGGTGACACCTGAGCTGAATTCTAAAGGATGAGTTGCAATCAAGAGAAGAATAGAAGTAAAGACATTCAGAGTAGAGGAGATAGCAAATATGAAGGCCTGGGATCCAGAAACAAAAACAAAAACATGGTATCATCATAATACTAATAGGTAATATTTATTCAACACTTACTAAGTGTCAAATACTGTGCCAGGGGCTTTATATGCATTTTAATTTAATCTTCACTATAACCCTACAGGTAAGAACTATTATTTCCCCCAGGTTCCATAGGAGGAAACTGAGGCACAGAGAGGTTAAGTGGTTGGAGAGGTACTGGCCAGATCATGTAGAACTGCAACACCAGGCTAAGGAGTTTAAACTTCACTGAGTACAAAGTGGAAAGGCAATGAAGAATTTGAAACGAGAGTAACGTGATTCAATTTGCAATTTAGAAAGATGAATCTGATAATACTGTCAAGACAGACTCAAAAGGAACAGTACTAGAGATAAGAAGATGTTCAGAACTCTATTCCAGTACTCCAGGTTAGAAATGATGAGGGTTTTGGGTACAGAGAGATGGGGACAGATTTGAGGGATTTTAAAGAGGGGGAGCCCACAGGACAAGACCAAAATGTAAATGCCCAGAAGGATCAAGCGAGCAACATAAGTGAGTCTAACAGACCAGTATAAGTCCACAGGGTGTGGTGGACAACGTGGCGAACTGGAGAAGATGGGCCTGACTCAAGGGAGAAACCAATGACTGCCATGGCACCCCAGGTTTTCAGATCACCCAATTTTTCAAAAGAAGCTAGACATTTTAACTTTTATTTGAAATCTAATTTTTAAGTCCTCGCAACCAATGCCAACATCTGAAAAACTATCTCAAGGCCAAACAAAAGATGTCTATAGAACCAAGTTCTTCTGGGCCACCAATTTCCGACCTCTGCATAAGATAGGAAGAAAGCTGACTAAAATCACATAAAAGAACTGCTGGGCAGCAATGAGGTCTCAGCTGAGATCACGGACCATGGATTTCTAGTGGCAACATCTAACAGCCAGGATATAGGAACAAAGAAAAGTATTAAGTGATTTAGGCTTGGGGTTCTGCAACTGAGTGGTATGGAAGGACAAGGGGATTAAGGAATTATGCTATAAACTTTACACATAATGTTTAATCCTCACAACAATCCCTTAGAGGCCAGTCTTATTATCTCCTTTTTACTGATGAGGAAACTCAGTAACTTGTCCATTATCACCGAGTTAATAAATTGTGTATGCGGATTTGAAGCAGTCTAAAACTCATGCTCTTTTCACATTCCATGTTGCCTCCTCACAAAAGGAATGTCTGAAAGAAGTGGAATGCACAGAAGCCAACAACCACTAACAATCTGATGGATTCTTTGGGTCAGTGCAAGTCTGAGAGTCTGCGAGTTCTTTCGAGTGGGACATAGCACTGTTCAGTCTGCATTCTCCACCTCAGAGGGATTAGCAGACAGCCACAGGTAGAGGCTTTGAAGTCAGCAATAAGTAAATAATCTGCAAGGGAATATTTAGCCCTGAAGACTCCTAAAGGCCTCTTGTTTATGTGATAACTTTTTCCGAATCATCAACTAAAAGAAAAAGCGTAACAAAGGACTGCTTTAGAACCCTGGGTATACACATACTATAGGGCAAAAAGGTCTGGGAACTAATCAAATCCCAAAGCAGCCTGTAGTCACCAGTGCAGTGCCACCCTTCCCTTCTTCAGAATCTGTTCACCCATCAAATCCTCACACTTCCACTCCCTAGCCCCTAAAAGCACAATGATAATTCTTAAGAGCAAAGAGGAAGCTCAAAAAGAGACACTGTGAGAATAACAGATTTTCACATTCCAAGCTGATCTAAAAGCTCTAATTTGGACTTGGTTCCTATGAATAAAGTTGCACAAAATGTAGAACTTCTCCAAGGCATACTGGGATAAAAATAAGCTTCCAGATTTGCTCACTGCGCTAGTTTAATTCTAAAGGGAGAAGGAAAGGATTACAGGTTGCTAGAAATGTTTAAACATAAATGAAACCAGTAGAAGACAGCAGGGAATAAGTATCAAGGGTACAATACTGAACAGTCATCACAGATGTCATCATCTCCTCCATCAGGCAAGGAAAGAGGCCAGGTCACTGGCCTAGGACAAACAACCTAACTTAATCGGGCTAACAAAATTTGGCACACATTTGCCCAAACATCTTATTTCCTCAAAGAATAGCTTACGATCTCTTTATATTCTCTTAAGATATTAAAAGGCTTCTTCAAAAAAATTATTAATTTAAGAACAAGAGCCTCTATGGATGATAAAGGAGCCTAGGTGCAGGTGAGAAAACTCTTATTAAGGTATTGGCAAAAATCCTTTGTTGAGTACTTTACAAAATGAATTAAGACTGCCATGTTTTTCTGAAGGACCCTGGTACAATCCACACCTCCAAACTGAAACTCAGAAGGAGTAAAAATTGTTTAAACTGTCCTCTTCTACATCGTACTGAGGTACTACAGTCATGGTAGAAACACTTGCTTTGTTGGTTTTTTTCTGTGACATCTGGAAATGTATTAAAGATTCATTGTAGGGCAAAGACTCAAATGTTTTACGAGAGGCTGAAAGCCAAGGACCCATCACTGTCTGTACCTTTTATCAGCATGAAATTTACCTCCCAGAAATAGTGTGTGATAATAATCACAATTCCCTCAGGGCCTCCCAGTTCTATACTCCCTATGACCTTCAACTGACACAACCATATGAGGGCATTTATCCAGATATCCGGAAAGCCAGGCAGGCAACTTGACAACTTAACCTTCACGTTAGGCTCTTATGGGCTGCTGCGCATTCTAATAGATCCTAGAATTTTGCAGAAAATCAGTACGTTTCCCACGTAGTTCATAACTTTGCAGCTGTTTAGGAGCCAAGCCACTGATCTTAAGAAAAAAAAAACCACATGCCTTAACCCCAACCTAATTACATAAATCAGCAGGTAGCTAAAATCAGGAAATAGAAAACTGCGCCAAGCTCAGGGACTAGCCCGAGCTGGCCAAGTCTAATAGGCTGAAATGATGGTTTTAAATTTCCTTTAATTAAAATGTTCTGATTACAGATCACCTTAAAAGATCATCTGGTTTCTCAAGAATTGAGAGCCTTTATTATTTCTTCTTAAATCCTACTAGAAAACCACCTTTAATATGATAAATAATTGCCACTTTCACATACTGTAACAGCAAGCCCTTAAAGGATTCCTTTCTTCCTTTTTAACAATAAAAAACGCTTATAATATTAACTGTAAAGGTCTTAAATAAAGGTAATATCAAGCCATAAAACTTGCCCATATGACCTCAAGGAATGGGAAGTAATAAAAATTTGTTTCTAGATAACACCTTCTGAAGAAAAGCAAACCAAAGTCCACAATTTAAAAGTAGGAAAAAATGGGGACCGGCCCTGTGGCTTAGCGGTTAAGTGTGCACGCTCCACTGCTGGCGGCCTGGGTTCGGATCCCGGGCGCGCACCAACGCACCACTTGTCCAGCCATGCTGTGGCGGCGTCCCACATAAAGCAGAGGAAGACGGGCACAGATGTTAGCCCAGGGCCAGTCCTCCTCAGCAAAAAGAGGAGGCTCAGCATGGATGTTAGCTCAGAGCTGATCTTCCTCACACACACACACAAAAAAGTAGGAAAAAAGTGTTAATTATATATGCAGAGTAGCTGATGTCAAGAATTTGTGAATACTCACACTGAAACTGTCAAATAAGGGAGAATACAGGTCACTGGGAAAATAAACTCATTTAGAATTGGATTTTCTTGTACCATTCTAGGCAGTGGCTGGAAAACAAGTTCTTGAGCAGGTTCTGCTCCTGAAGCCTGCCCCCATTCCTTTACCAAACCTTCAAGATAATACCCTGCCTACTTCAAAAGGATCTTTAGCTTAGGCCTAAACACTAGGCAAATAAAGCCATTAGGAATAAAAGGGAATAGAGTTCACCTGGAGAAAGAAACAAATAGGCGCTGTCAAGAACTTGAATTGAGCAAATGATATCTGCAAGACAAATTTGGCTCTAAGTTTTCTGGAAGCCATGATTATAAAGACTAAAAGAGAAACAAGCTGGGTTACACATCATTTGTTTTCTGATGAAAGCGCATAAATTTATCTTCAGAGATAATTTTCCTGGAACTAAACACGAAGAACAATTTATCAGGAAGGTCCTTGTAAAAGGACTGTGACCAATATTAGACTCCATTTTCAACCATGGCCTTGCTAAAGATACAAACACAGTTCAAATGGGGGCTTTTAGTGACCCTCCTTAACGATCTGCCTGACCTAATGCAGAGGCGGGACCTGAAGGAGCTAGATGAAGGCTCCCGTGCCCTCGCTCTCTGCCCTCAGCACTACCACTTCTCTCCCCACCCTAGCCCCTCTTGCTGCTCACAGAACTCCAGCCTTACTCTCAAGTGGCAAGAAGGCTGGGACTACTTTTGGCCACTTGCTGCTACCACAAGTGTGTTCAAAAAAAAAAAGTGCCAGGAAAAGATGTCTTAAAGATAATACTATCCACCCAGTCTTGGTTTCTAATACCATTCTCCAGTCAAAGGAACTCAGGGCTCCTTGGAGAAATGGCTGATCCCAGGACAGGGGCAGGAAACATACAAGATGAGCCTGGAGCATCTTGTAGTGCCAGAAAGGAAAGAAGTGGTCAAAAACAAAACAAAACAAAAAACAAGAATAGGAGTATGTCAAAGGGACACAGGAGCCAAATGAAAGAGCTCCCAAGAGCCAAAGCTGAAACAGTTTGAGCAACAAAATAAAGTAGTAACGGATTATAATCCAAAGTATAAAGTAAATATCTATGCATCCATACTGTTATAAGTGATTAAACAAACAAACAAACGGAGGAGAAGAGACAAATCTCCCATGCAGAAGATTCTCAATTTATGTATAAATGGCACCCTCAGGTCAAGCATAACTCCCCACTCCTTAAATGTGGGCTGCACAGTGACTTCCTTCCAAAGAGCACAGTATGGAAAGGGGGAAAAAAGGAACTTTACAGTGCAGAAACCTGACAAACACTACCTCAGCCAGATGATCAAGGTCAATATTAACAGTGATAAATCACGTTGATAGTATACTCCCTTGATATAACATGATGGAAATGACACTTTGCCTCTGTGTTCTTCCTCCCCCAAACCCAGAATCCCAGTTTTATCATGAGGGAAACATCAGACAAATCCCATTAGCGAGGCATCCTACAAAATACTTGACCAGTACTCCTCAAAATTCACAAGGTCGTGGGGCCAGCCCCGCGGCATAGCGGTTAAGTGCGCGCGCTCCGCTGGCTGGCGACCCGGATTCGGATCCCAGGTGTGCACCGAGGCACCGCTTGTCTAAGCCATGCTGTGGCGGCGTCCCATATAAAGTGGAGGAAGATAGGCACAGATGTTAGCCCAGGGCCAGTCTTCCTCAGGAAAAAAAAGAAAAGAAAAGAAAAGAGGAGGATTGGCGTGGATGTTAGCTCAGGGCTGATCTTCCTCTCACACACACAAAAAAACTCACAAGGTCGTCAAAAACAAGGAAAGTCTGAGAAACTGTCATAATCTAGAGAAGCCCAAAGAAATATGACTAAATGTACTATATCCAGGATAGGATCCTGGAACAGAAAAAAGGGACATTAGGTAAAAACTAAGGAAATCTGAATAAAGTATGGACTTTACATGTAGGAAATGCTGGAGTCATCTTGTATTTCTTAATCCCTTGTTACCAGCTAAGATTTCACTGAATACCTGCTGTTAGACACTTTGTATTCCTTCAGTTTCTAAATCTTGCTGCTGCTTCCTTGAGAGTTTACCTGTCTTTTTGTCTCTGTTTCCAAGCAATGACCATTCAGGTCTTAATAATCCCTGGGTTTAGTCAATGCACTGTACTTTATCTAGTTTGCCATCCATTAGCACTGCTAGCTTGGAAGTATAGTTAGCGACTTAAATGTTTACGGAGTTCTGAATTATCACTAACAGTTATCATAACAACAACACTAATAATAATAACAACAATAATAGTAATGTTTATTGAGTGCTTGCCATGTGCCAGATACTGTTCCAGGCACTTGACCTGTATTAAATTTAAACCTCACAATAACCCCATGAAGTACATACTACTGTCCTTATTTTACATATGAAGCACAGAGAGGTTAAGGAACATATCCAAGGCTTTACAGCTAGTAAGTGGCATAATTGTGACTTAAACACAGACCTGAGGTCTGACTCTAGAACCTTCAGTGTAATTACTATGCTGTACTGTCTCTCAAAGGGAGAAAAGGATAGGTGTTTCTGTTTCAGTTCATTTTTATTCAATGTATAGAGTTTCTACAAGGGACTTGCTGTTTCTAAATTCCTGAGTTAGTCATTGAGGAACTACAAGTTGATGGTTATCCTTAGAATAATATGTACACATTGTATACTCAGTGTTATACCACAGACTGATCATAAACCTGAGGAAGATAGAGCGCAGGTAAGAGCCTATTTGAAGGAAATTTCATCTTCCGATTTTCACTAAGTACCAAAGCCACAAGCTGACTGACCTCTCCTGCCACCAGAGCACTCCTGGAAAAGAAGTTTGTTTGTTTGTTTTTTAACCCAATAAGTAATAAACTACATGAAGGCCCTAACCACATTAGGTGTGGGGGAGGGGAAGAGAGGACTGTGTGTGCATATATAATGAGCAAGGGTTGTGGGTCTATATGCTTCATTTGGTAAGAGTTGACAAGGGAATCTTGAGCCGTGGGGTCTATTACTCTGAGATATAAAAAGGCAGAAAGAATACCAAATCATTGAAGATGCTGTGGTTTTAGACTAGAAAAGTAGTATTAGAAACACTTTCAGGGGCCTGCCTTGGGGCGTAGTGGTTAGGCTCACGCACTGCGCTTTGGCACCCGGGATTCGCCAGTTCGGATCCTGGGCTGGACCTACACACCGCTCATCAAGGCGGTGAGGCAGTGTCCCACATAGAGCAACTAGAAGGATGTAAAACTATGACATACAACTATCTACTGGGGCTTTGGGGAGAAAAAAGGAAGAGGATTGGCAACAGATGTTAGCTCAGAACCAATCTTCCTCAAAAAAAAAAAAAAGAAAGAAAGAAAGAAATACTTTCAAAAGGCTACCACAAGTCACCACTGTTCTCAAACATGAAGAACATGGACAACTCTGATAGCCTAGAAGCTTTATTTAATGTGCATAAAAGGAATTTACTCTGATCTTTCAAACAAGAGCAAGTACCAAGTCTATCAAATGCATCCCTGAAATCAAAGGATCATATCTAGATTCTACCCAGAACAAGGTCAAACTTAGAAAGGCCACCAGCAGCATTTAGCAACACTAAATTCTTTCAAATTTCCAACACAATTCAGCAATGGCATAGCACAGCACAGAAGTATTGCTTAAGGACGCTTGGAGAAGTGCTGAAAACTAGAAATGGAAAATTTCCAGGCACTGGTATGATAATGGATAGATGCTGTCTTCCTGCTTCTATCAGCATTTGCTACATTAACTCAACATAGGCAATACGTCATGCTTGACTTG